TGGGTCTGACTCGAACACACAGCCATTACCTGCTGTGCTCCTGTCATCTCTTCTTGGTACTTTCTAGTCAGTCAGACAGTTTTCTCTGAGTTTCCTTTAGCTCTTAGTCCCAGTTTTCTTTAGCTCTTTGAGAATATTTTTCAGTCGATTTAAAGTCTTTGTCTAATATAACATCCGTGTTTGCTGGGGAGAGTTGCAGTTAGTTTCTTCTGTGAATGGGCCATACTTTCTAGTATCTTCTGAGGCTTTGGAGTTTTTTGTTGAAAACTAGACATTTGGAGTATTATGAGGAGACTCCAGCAGACGCTTCTCCCTAATCGACACCTGTTTCGTTCTTGCTGCAGCCGTAGCTGTTCAGTGAGCTGTTCGACGACTTTTTCCGCGTCTGGGTATCTGTTCAGGCTTCGGGGTGAATGGAGGGCAACGTCGCTAACGACCACGATTTCTGCTGCACAGAAACGACTTCAGATTGTCCAACTCGCTTCCCACAGGGGTTCACCCTTTGTAGCGCACACCGTCACCCCCGTGGGGTGATGAGAAAGCTGGGACTCAGACCGGTGAAGTCGCGGTTCCCACCAGCCCTGACTTCAGGGCCAGGCGTCTGCACTACCCTCGGCCCCTGAGTCCGGGAATTTCTTCGTGTGAGAGCTGTCCCCGAGAGGGAGCTGCAGGGGAATGGGCGGCAGGGTCAGGACGGCCGAGGACGTCCTGTGCATGGCAGGGTGTGCTATTGCGTCCTGGTCTTTGGGGCCGCGCCTGCGGTAGAAGGGTCAGCGTAACTTCAGAGGGGAGCTGCTCCCGTAGCGTAGGAAAGAGGCCGAAGTCTGCGGAGGACTGTGGTCTGGAAGGTTCCAGAAGGTGCTCTGCTACCATTGTTGACACGTACTGTTTAGGGACTGCCCGAGGTAGGCCATGATGCAGAGCAAAGCCAGCATTCCCTCTCCTGGGATGGAGAGAGAGCCAGGGCCCCGGGGGGCCCTCAGAGGCTCCCCGGTTTCCTCTCTGCCTTCTCCTGGGAGCGACCTTGTTATCGGAGCCAAGAGGAGCAGGGCGCTTGGCAGGAGGCTGTGCCCTTAGGGATTTAGTTGTCGAGACTGGGGACAGAGGTGGCAGGAGAGGGGTCTCTGAGGGTTTGTGTAAACAGAAGCAACTTTCTCAGTCATAGCAGGGGTGGGGATGAGGGCAGGGGATAAAACCACTCAGCCCTCGCTGAGCCTGGCCCGGTGAGGGGTCCCTCCACAGGAGAAGGGTCCCAGCTGCTCCCAGTGAGAGGCCTGCCCTCTGACCCAGCCGGTCCACCTGATTCTCTCCGGGTAAGACGTCTGCTCTCTGCTACAGCCACTGCTCCCGCTCCCCCCGGTACTCCTCTTAGCCCCCCCGGTACTCCTCTTAGCCCCCGGGGTGCCGCCGAGGCTCTGCTGCAGATTTCTCTTTTTCTGAACCTGCTTGCTTGCTTTTTTTTTTTTTTTTTTTTGGAGAGGTTTTTTTTGCTATAGGGTGCGTGCACTCGCCAGACAGAGAGAGACATAGAGACAGAAAGCGAGAAATCACCCCCAGGGTGGATGGTCACGCCGCAATCCCTTCTCCTCCATTCTCCTCTCGGGATCTTGGGCACGCACGCACACGCGCCCGGCATGAGTTTTAAGCCGCCGGGTCTGGGACACGAACCGCGGTCGACTACGTGGGAGTCCAGTGACATAGTCATTACGCCAACTGCTGGTTCCCTGAACCCGCTTTCTTCCATTTGATCAACCTTAATGCATTTCTTCAAAATCTTGCAAGCCCTCCTAGAAGCCCGGGGCACTTCCTCCTGGGGGTGGGGTGGAGCCCAGTCCCTCCGTGGGGTCTGTTTCCCTGGGAGCAGAGGGGGTGCTAGTGCGGCTCTAACAACCTGGTGTTGCCCTCTCCAGGAAATACCCCTCCCAGTCTCTCTAGGGGGGTCCTGCTTCCACTCGGGCCTTTCTTCAAGGAGACCAGAGCGGTGTCGGGCGCTGGTGGAGTCTGAGCCCGAGGACGACAGTTCTGGACCGCGAGGCTCTGGTTCTGAGATCTCGGGTGACTCCCCCTCTGCCTCACATTTCCCCTGCTGTGGCCCAGGCTCTCGGAGCCGGCTCACCACCGCTGGCCCTGCCCTGCTCTTGCTTAGGGGAGGGATTCTTCCATGGTGTGATTCGGTTTCTTGGACATGGTGGGGTGTTCTGTCTGTTTTCCTAGTTCTTTATGCTGTGAGTAGGTGGAGCAGTACCTGAGGGTCGTCTCAGCCAGCCCACTCACTTTATAGAGGGTGGTGGATCCCCGAAACGGACAGTGGCCTCCTCCAGGTCCCAGGGCAGGTTCTGGGAGGGCAGTCGTGTCCGCTGTCCCGAGTCCAGGGAGGTTACCGACGGCCGCCCCATCCGCAGTGGCCGTCTGTCGTCTTGCCCCACAGTGCACTGTCCTCATCGGCTGGTGGCTCACAATTTTCTGACTCTGGAAAATCCACTCCTGCCCGTCACCACCGCCCCTGCAGCTCCCACTCTCCCTCACGAGCTTTCTCTGCTTCAGCACCCACTTCTGACCTTGAGGACTCTCGGGAACCCACTCCTGTCGGGGACACAGGCTTCACGGGTCTGCCCCTCCCTCCTCCCGCCGTGCCCCTCCTCGGTGAGGAAGGCCTCGTGGGGACCGGACTTCCCGCTGCCCAACGACTCTCCACCCAGGTCCCCAGGTGCACCTCTGCGGGGGTCCTCTGTACAGCCCAGGGCGTGGGCGTGGGCGGGTCCCCGTCCTAGAGCACCTCGCGCTGTTGCCTGGCCAGAGCTCGGTCCCGGCCGCCCAGTATGGCTTCGGCAGGAAAATCCATATCTCAGATGCCAGCGAGGGCTCAGATGTCCTAGAGCGAAATGTCTGTCGTGAGCAACGCTAAGTTCGCCTGATCAGTTACCTAAAACTATGGACTGAAAATCAATCAGGGGAGACCAGCAGTTGGCGTAATGGCTGTGTCGCTGGACTCCCATGTAGTTGACGTGGTTCGAGTCTCGGACCCGGTGGCTTAAACTCACACCGGGCACATGTGCGTGCATGCCCAAGATCCCGAGAGGAGAATGGAGGAGAAGGGATTGCAGCGTGGCCATCCCCCCTGGGGGGCAATTTCTCACTTTCTGTCTCTCTCTCTCTTTCTGGCAAGCGCACGCACCCTATAGTGAAAATCTCTAAAAAAAAAAAACCCCAAAAATCAATCAGGGTATCTGATGAGACTCCAGTTTCCCATCCCGCCTGGAAATTCTGATGTCCTGGTAACATGCTTTTCTGAAACCTTCTCCCCTTTGCCACCCCTGCGCCCCCTCTGTCCGGAGCTCAGCAAGCAGCAGACGGTGTGGGAGTCGCAGCAGCCCTGGGAGACTGCGCACTCAGGCACAGGAAGGGGCTCTGAGCGATGAGTTGCACGAGTGTGATCAGAGTCCTGCCGGTGGAGACATTCTGGGGGACAACGGGTGCACTTCAGTGGTACTCAGATAGGGGGGAGGCCAGAACTTACGGGCAGGCATGGGTCGTCTGAATCGGCTGACCTTGGCCCTGGAGACCTGAGGACTCCTGGTGGCCCAGATGAGGTCAGGGGATGCTCGCATAGTGGGAGGACGTTGAGAAGCTGGGACAAGACCACTCTCTGTTCCAGCTGAGGGAAGCATTCTCGGGGCCTGAGTGACCCAGCGTCCTCCCCGAAGGCCGAGGGGTTGCTCAGCAGAGTGGGGCTTTGGGGCCTCCTGTCCCTCCACAGTTCACCCCAGGGTGGGGTGTGGGGCGGGAGTGGGGGAGCTCGGCCCTCACCAGCAATGCAGAAGGCAGAGGGTCCACACTGCGCGGTGACTGGGGCCTCTGCCTGCCAGGCTGCCCGCCTCGCCCCACCCCATCCCGTCCCGTCTTGTCCCTGCGGTGCCGCTGGTCCCAGGCCTTCTCTCTCACGCCGTCCTCCTCCTGAGCGCTGCCTTCCCGGCTCTGCTGCGTCCCTCGTTTCCCACTCTCTGTAAGCCTAGGAACCCACCGCGGGTCTTCCGGCACCCCACTGCTCTCCCCATCCCTCGTCCCCTTCACCTGTGCCTGCTCTCCTGACTCTGGGTAACAGGGCTCCTTGGCCTCACAGGCATCGTTCCTGTCACTCGGAGCCGCTGTCACTCCCTGGCACGGAATGCTCGGTCTGCTCCAGGGATCTGACTGCCTTCCAGGGGGCTCTGGCAAGGAAGGGGCCCCAGACTGCACCTGAGTGACTCGGGCTGAGAACGGGTCAGCTGCCTTTTCTGTAAAGGGTAGATTATTGCTTTTCCTTTTTTCAAAGCATTTCTTAATTGATACTTGTTTTATGTGTTTGAAAATGTTGTGATAGAAAGTAAGCTTGAAAAGGAAATACCTAGGACCAGCAGTTGGCATGGGGGTTAAAGCGCTGAACTCCCACACGGTGGGCTGAGGTTCGAGTCCTAGACCTGGCAGTTTTCTCTCTCTGTCTCTCTAGTGAGTGCATGTGCCCTATAGCAAACCAAATAATAATAAAAAATAAAATAATTCACTTAAATTTAAGGAGTATACAGGTGTGATTTTGTTGCCCAAATTCTCACACTGCGGGTCCTGCTGGAGGTCCTCGTGGACTGCAGTCCCTCGGCCCCAGCCCCCTCTCCAGAGGTAACGGCTCTGGCCACACTTCATCCTGCGGCCCCAGTCCTAGTGGTCCCGTCTGCCCATGCTGGACACGCTCAGACTGCCCAGCCTGGTGAGTAGCTGCCGTGTCTGTCTTCATTTGAACCTCTCTAGCGTGGTGAAGGAGACCCGGCCTCCGTGTTTATCTGGATTTCCTGTGAGAATTTGTGCTTACTTCATTCTTCCTTTTCTTATTGATTTTTGGGTATTCTTTATATTTTTGGGGTAGGAATCTCTTTAGTATACATTTTATAATACATATTATATTGAAAGTATTTCTGATTATGTAATATATATAATATACACATTTTTGTATTCTTTATGCCGTTTTATTGAGACCAGCTGTATCCCAAGGCCTAAACACATGCTCCGGGCAATTCATACTAATGCTCTATTTAGTTCTTTAACCCATTAAAATCTATTTTTGTGTATGGTATGAGGTAGGGATCTTTTTTTCCCAAACAAGGTAGTTATTGTCATAAATCGTTTATTAAATAGCACTTCCTTCATCATGTATTTTTTATTATTCTATTGGTTAAAGTTGATCGTAAATTTTTGAACGTTATATGGGTCTGATTCTGTGCCTGTTCTAATCTGCTGGTCAGTTTGCTTCACATCAGACTGAATAAATACACCTCAAACTGTGTTGTGGTCATTGATAGGACGAGCTCTGGATATTTTCCTCACAACTACTCTGGATATTCCGAAAATACTGATGAAGCGCTGGGCACGCGTTTGGTCCTCGCGTGGCAGTTCACGTTTTAGACTCGGTTATTGGCGCACAGAAGCGAAACCCTGAAGGCACGAGGCGGACGCCTACCCGGTCACAGCAGGCTGGGCTCCGCTGCCCCTCTGGCCCTGGCTCCCGCGCCTCACTCCAGAATGTTACGTGTAGACGACGCACACTGTCCTGTGCAGATCCGTATTAAAACGCGGCGTCATGTAGCATTACAGGGATATTCCGAGATGACAGTAGAGCGACGCGGCTGCACCCCACCCGCGGAGCCATCTGGGACGTGGGGCATGCGCAGTCTGTGGCACCCCACCGCCCGCCACGTCAGCCTTAAACGTGAGGGCTTTCTGCAGCAGACCCGAGCAGCCCTCAAAGTTTCCATGGTAACAGTTTGCTTCTTTGACTTGTTCTTGTTTATTATGTCCTCCCCTTGCAGAGCCCAGGCCTTTCATCCTAAGCCGAGTACACCAAGGAGGCCTCCCGCTGCTCCAGGTCCCGGCCGCCGCGCCCCACGGGCCATGGCCTGGGCGGGGAACCAGACCCTCATCACGCACTTCGTGCTCCTGGGCCTCTTCGCGCGCTCGCCGCTGCACGACCTCCTCTTCTCCGCCGTCATGCTCGCGTTCGTGGTGGCGCTGGCGGGCAACGCGCTGCTGCTGCTGCTCATCCGCGCCGCCGCGCGCCTGCACAGCCCCATGTACTTCCTGCTCAGCTGGCTGGCGCTCGCCGACCTGGCGCTCGTGTGCACCGTCGTGCCGCGCATGGCCGCCGACTTCCTCCGCGGCGCCGGCCGCATCTCCTTCGCGGGCTGCGGGCTGCAGATCCTGGCCTTCCTCACGCTGCTGGGGGACGAGTGCTTCCTGCTGGCCTTCATGGCCTACGACCGCTACGTGGCC